TATGTCAAAGACGAAAAAAAGGGTTTAAGTATAAAAACAATACTGCTTTAAATTGTTTTTCCAAAAAAAAGAAAAATTCTTCGGTTTAATGTAATTGGATTTTTGTTTTTCTGAGCAAAAAATAAATATCATACATTTTCCCCTGATTTACAGAAGAGAGCCACTAAAATGTCATTCAGTGTAACAATCTTGTCAGGCATATTTACAACAAAAATCAATTTATGACATATTAAAAGACTAATTATTTTCACCGCAAATACTAATTAGCTGTAATTTAAAAAAATTTTTTTAAACATGCCACTATCCTAGGTTTTGCCCATTTATCAGTAAGATTTTTTTACTCATTTAAAACACAATAAAATTTAATATGCTCTCTTATTCTTTTATATATTTTAATATGCACACGTCAGAATAAGCATGTTGTTTGAATTTTTGCATAAATATTCTGTTACACTGAATGACACTGTCACATTATTTCACCAAATTTTAACGTTTTATTCTCCAAAAACTTATTTGAAACCTTAAATGTACACACTTAACTTACATTTAATGTGCTTTCTATGGACATAAAATCACTTGTAAATGTTGTATATATATATATATATATATGTTTTTAAATTGCATTTAAAAAAAAAATAATAATTATCCCCCAAATTGTGCAGCCCTGTGATTTTTAATCTAATGCAGTGACATGAAGAGAGCATCTGCTTTATTGCTGTATCTGTTGTAGCAGTACGTTCATGTGTTGTTCGGTGCTATTTCTAGTTGTTGGCGTGTGCATGCTGTTCCTGTTTAACTTGGGTTAAAGTTGACGTGACGTCCATCACAGCTGCTGAGGAGAAAGCCTGACTCTCCACCGAACACATGCTGCTCTTTTGATTCTGGCCTGCGGTGTTTGTGAAAGCACTCAGTAAAACTCATCTGTTGTTTTCCTGTAATCAGTTTTGGTAGTGTGCCGAACATCTGCGGCCGGTTGTAATTGTGTTTGTGACTTTTGCACCGTTTGATATCTTAAGCTGGATTTGAATGATCATACTTGAATACTGCTCCTGTTATTTCTGCCAAATAGTGTGCTAGTGTGCTATGCTGAGATTCTCTCCCTCGCAGGCCACGCCTCTCTGTTAGAAGCCCCGTCCATCACACACAAGCCCCTCCCCTCCTCTGTTACATCATCAGCTGAATTCAGAGTAGATTAGTAGAATTTAATCTTGAATAAAATTAATACGGATTATATGAATAAAAGAAATAATATTTAATTATTATTTTAAAATGTAAATAATAAAATAGAATAATTAATTTCAAATTTTTTTTTTGGTCAAAATAAATTGCCTCACAATAGAAATGTACTGTGCAAGTGAAACCTTGGATGTAAAAATGTCTTGAGTGTGATATTCCTTAATAATATTAATCTAAAATAATAATAATAATTATCATTTTGAGAAGTGTGCTTGCAATTTATCTTATGCATTATTACTGTACAATAGTAATACTGTATATGTCTTTCATAATTTTTTCAAGTTCACTGGACTTTTATTTTGGCAGTTTATATATAAATATAATAACTTAATAAATCTCATAAATGTAATTTTATCAAATAAAGAGCTTCACAATAGAACTTTCCTGTATAAATTAAAACTTAGATGTAAAAATAACATTATAGTTTATTTAAATAGTGCTTTGATAATTATTGATGCTAGTCTTTTTTTTCTTTTGTGATGATTTGAATTTGATTCATTTAAATCCATGCTTTTGAATGATTAATCCAAAATTCTATTTTAGGATTGTTGCGATACTATTAAAGTTCCGTTAATATTTTGAATCCATTTTTTTTTTGCTTTTATGTTTTCTGGTTTCATTTTAATTTCAGTTAAAGTTTTAGTAATTTTGTTGCACGTTTTCGTCATTTTTATGAATTTTTATTTCCATACATCGTTAAACAAAATTAAAATGAGAAATGAAAACACAGAATGCTTAAATAAAAAGTATATTTTATTTCAGATAATATTGGTTTTATTTCAGGCAACAAAAATACTTTTTTCTATGGTCATGATTTTAGTCTCAGTTTTAGTTGACCACAATAACTCCATGTTTTAAGGCCTGGATTCTGTCCATGTTTTCCGCATCCTGGAAATCTCCCAACTAAAGGAAGTGCTTTTCATCACACAATAAGATGCACTGAAATGTCCTCGAAAGTTACCCGCTGATTGTGTGCCGTGTTTTCTGGAGTGTGTGCTGTGAGAGGCATGTTGGGACGGCCTCGGCTCCGCCTGCAGCTCTTCCCTCCCTAAACGGGCCCCTCTGATGGGATATAGGGCCCCTGTTCCTCTGCATCTACCTCCTTTTGTCCTACGAGCCTTTTCTTTCGCTAGCGAGCGCTAAAAACCAGGTCTAAAGTTCAGCGTCTGATGTGCAGATCTGGGTCAAGTCGAACATTTGGAAAGCATTTTTATTTCCATACATCGTTAAACAAAATTAAAATGAGAAATGAAAACACAGAATGCTTAAATAAAAAGTATATTTTATTTCAGATAATATTGGTTTTATTTCAGGCAACAAAAATACTTTTTTCTATGGTCATGATTTTAGTCTCAGTTTTAGTTGACCACAATAACTCCATGTTTTAAGGCCTGGATTCTGTCCATGTTTTCCGCATCCTGGAAATCTCCCAACTAAAGGAAGTGCTTTTCATCACACAATAAGATGCACTGAAATGTCCTCGAAAGTTACCCGCTGATTGTGTGCCGTGTTTTCTGGAGTGTGTGCTGTGAGAGGCATGTTGGGACGGCCTCGGCTCCGCCTGCAGCTCTTCCCTCCCTAAACGGGCCCCTCTGATGGGATATAGGGCCCCTGTTCCTCTGCATCTCCCTCCTTTTGTCCTACAAGCCTTTTCTTTCGCTAGCAAGTGCTAAAAACCAGGTCTAAAGTTCAGCGTCTCTGATGTGCAGATCTGGGTCAAGTCGAACATTTGGAAAGCATTTTTTCTCTTTCCGGAGCCGAGTTGCAGTCTTCTTCTTCCCTGCATGGCCTGGGATCGTTAAGGGGAAACGCTGTGGCGTGGGAGTCGGAATTCCAGCGGATTCCGGACGGGATCGGAGTTCAGTGTCGAGTCGATGCAGTGAAGTTGTCTGACGTTTCCAGAATGGTCCGTGTCTTCATCTGATCCACAGCCTGCTGTTTCTGCACGAAGAGATTCCAGAAGATAACGTCATGTTTTCATTGCATACTTAGTCATTGTAGCTTTCCAGTGTGCAGTATGTGAATTTGAACATTAATTAAAAATTAAGAAAAATGTAAACATAATGACTAAATATGAGCATACTGAGAAATCTAAAAATAGATTTTGTGTAATGTTTTTACTCACCGAGGCTGCATTTATGTGATGAAAAGTGCAGTAAAAACTGTAATATTGTGAAATATTATTATCATTTAAAACAGCTGTTTTCTGTGTGAATCTCTGTTAAACTGTAATGTATTTCTGTGATGCGCAGCTGTATTTTCAGCATCATTACTCCAGTCTTCAGTGTCACATGATTTTCAGAAATCGTTCTAATATGCTGATTTGCTGCTCAAGAAATATATGCATAATAATTATAACTATTATTTCACCATGTAAATTATTTTAATAACAGGTTATTATAATTTTGTCTTTTTAATGTAATTTGGATAAATAATAATAATTATTATTATTTTACAATATAAAAATATATGAAATTATAAATAAAAATATTTACAATGTAAATTTTTTTTATTTAATTTTAATAAATTATTATTTTATTATTATTATTATGTAAAATCTTATTACGTAATCTTAATAATGATTTTATTTTTACAATGTATAATTTTTTTTTGTTAATTTTAATAAATTATGACTATTTTTATTATAACATACTAATAAAAAAGTAATAATAATTTTTTATTATTAAGTCATTCATTAAAATTAAATTTAATTATTTAATTTTAATAATAAATTATTATTATTATTATTATTTTTGCAATGTAACATTTTTATAGTTTAATTCCTGCTTCCTGTAGATGTCTGAAAACTCCTCAGGGCTTCGAGATGCTACAATATATATATAAATGTAATTCATTCCTATGATGCAAAGCTTGATAACTTTGCTAATAATCAGAAATGTTTCTTGAGCAGCAAATCAGCATATTAGAATGATTTCTGAAGATCATGTGACACTGAAGACTGGAGTAATGATGCTGACAATACAGCTGCGCATCACAGCAATAAATTACATTTTACTATATATTCACACAGAAAACAGCTATATTCAATTGTAATAATATTTAACAATTTTATTGTTTTTACAGTATTTTTTGTAAATAAACG